GGGTGCCCAAAGAATCAGAATAAGTGTTGAAGTGTTGATAAAGTACTGGGTCTCCTCCTCCTGCTGGGTCGAAGAATGAAGTATTTAAGTTTCGATCTGTTAAGAGTATAGTAATAGCTCCTGCTAGAACAGGAAGCGAAAGTAGCAAAAGGATAGCTGTAATAAATACTGATCACACAAATAATAGTATTCGGTCTATTGTTATACCTTTTCTTCGTATATCAATGGCAGTTGTTATAAAATTTACTGCACCTAAAATACATGAAACACCAGCCAGATGAAGAGAGAAAATCCCTAAGTCAACGGATGCACCTGCATGAGCAATTGCTGCAGAAAGTGGAGGGTAGACAGCTCATCCGGTTCCTACCCCACTTTCTACTATCCCACTTTTTAGTAATAATGTTAAAGAAAAGGGAAGAAGTCAAAATCTTATATTGTTCATACGAGGGAATGCTATATCTGGGGCACCTAGTATAAGTGGAACTAGTCTATTACCAAACCCTCCAATTATAATAGGCATAACTATAAAAAAAATTATAACAAAAGCGTGGGCTGTTACAAGAACATTATAGATTTGGTCGTCACCAATGAGACTTCCTGGTTGACCTAACTCAGCACGAATTACCAGTCTTAATGAAGTTCCTACTATGCCTGATCATGCTCCGAAAATAAAATATAGAGTACCAATGTCTTTATGATTTGTTGAAGAGAGTCACCGTTGCGTGATAAGGTGGCTGAGGAATAGGCGATAGATTGTAAATCTATAAACAAGTTTAAACTTTCTTATTAGGTTACATAGTGGAAATTATTTAAGACGTTAGATTGCAAATCTAAAGATGTGTTTATCACTGGGGCTTAAAAAAGATATAAAAAATATGAAAGTATTTTAAGATTTAAAAGATTTTCTTTTTTTGACAACTTTGAAGGATGTTAGTTTAAATAACTTAAAATCTTAGAATATAATGAAAACTGATGGGATAAAGAGCCCAAAAAGATAAATAAATGCTATAAAAGGAATGAAAAAAGAACAAGTGCAGAAATTGAAATTCGTAAATAATAATATAGGGAAATTAAGGTAGATGCTAGAAAAATCAATAATGGGATAAAAAATAACTAGAGGTTATTTCTTGAATTAAAATTCATTTATGAAAATATCCAGTAAAAGGAGGTAGCCCACCTAGTGAAAGTAAAGATAAAAGTATGAGAATTTTATGAGGTAGTGGTGAAGCATTATTGGAAGTAATTTGAGAAAAATTAAAAATTTGTTGGAAATGAAAGATTAATGCTACTGAAGAATATATTAAAGAGTAAAAAGTAAAGTACATTGTTCACATATTTTCACTAATTAAAATAGCAGAAAGTATCCATGCTATATGATTAATAGAAGAAAAAACCATAATTTTTCGAAGTATTGTTTGATTAATACCACCAACTGCTCCGATAATTGCTGATAAAATAACTGCATAAAATAGAAGTAAAGTAACTAAATAAGTAAAAGTAAGATATGAAAGTAAAAGTATAGGAGCAATTTTTTGAACAGTTATGAGTGCAATAGATTGAATTCAATTCATTCCTTCTATAACTTGGGGAAATAAAAAATGGAATGGTACAGCTTCGTGTTTAAGAAGAAGAGCAAGCGCTAAACAAAGTGGTGCAAAGCTGGGAGAAACTAATATAATTGAAGCAGAAAAGATAATAATAGTTGACCCTAGAGCTTGAATAAGAAAGTATTTAAGTGCTGATTCAGAGGAATATTGATTATTTTTTGTAATAATTAGAGGAACAAAAGATAAAAGGTTTAATTCTAAACCCGCTCATGCTCCACACCAGGAAGTGGCAGAAATAGATAAGGTTGTTCCTGAAATGAAAAAAATATTAATTCAGACGGAGAAATTAGCATTAAAAAGAGAGAGGTTTATGCTCTCAGAAACGGGATATGAACCCATTAGCTTAGGATTAGCTTATCTTTTGTATACTGGTGTAAACGGCACGAAAAGTTTTGATCTTTAAAGAATTGGTGGAATTCCATTGTATATAGATAACATGAGTAAAGTAATTTACATAATCAGTCTTATCAAGACAGCCCTTTTCAGGCATCATATTTAAAAATGTAAGATTTATAAAAATATTATTAGTAATATAAATAATAAAAAAGTAAAAAATTAAGAAAATATTATTTAAATAGTATATATATATATATATATATATATATATATATATATATATATATATATATATATATATATATATATATATATATATATATATATATATATTATATATATATATATATATATATATATATATATATATATATATATATATATTCATTAGCCCAATAAAGCATGCAGACTTCTACATACAATCAACACCTCAACCCGCCAGGATTCGAGCCCACGGCCCATGATTGTGACCGGGGAACGCTACCTACTGGACCACCAGGATACTAAAAGCAGTCCTAGACTCTGTTATATTTCACACAAAGCCTGTTCAACGAGCTTATGGCACCGTAAACCTCTAATGGGGACTACCCATATGACGTAGGTGGTCAGAGTAACGTTTTACCAAATCCGGCTTCGAAACACGAGGATCCATATATATTTCGTTAGCCCAATAAAGCAAGCGGACTTCTACATACAATCAATACCTCAACCCGCCAGGATTCGAACCCACGGCCCACGAGCCCATAACTGTGATCGGGGAACGCTACCTCTGGACCACCAGGATACTAAAAGCAGTCCTAGACTCTGTTATATTTCACACAAAGCCTGTCACAAAGATTTTTATGGAATATTTTACTAATATAATATTAAGAACGATTTTTAACCCCTAGTTTGGCGGATTTTAGAATTTCTTTTACTAAAACATAGTAACTTTTCATAGGATTATTTGTAATGAAGATAAATTCCTATTTAAAAAAAAAGTGAAGTTATATGCGCATGGTAGCCGTCCACGTGTGGTCTCAAATTTTAAGATACTTATATTTTAATTTGAAAAAAAAATCATAATCAAAATTTCTGTTTTTAGTATATTGACACGTTTTGAAGCAGACCAGCACTTTAAAAAAAAAATTAGCTTGTTAAATTTGTAGATATATTACTGTATTTTAAATATTTTTGTTTAAGGTTAGTAAATTAGTAATAAGTGTCAATTAAAGACCTAACTTCATCTTATTGTTAGGGGATTAATTGGCATTTCCAACAAATTGTGTAAAAATTTTGGTTTTGTGGGAGTTATTTTTAAGAATACATAATATGGTTAAAATACCCTCATAATTTTTTAGCTTAACTTAGGTGTAGGACAGATTTTTTTTGGTATAAAGTAATTGATATTTATTTGTTTAATTATTTATATTTAAAATCATATTTATTTTGTTAATAATAATGTAGATAATAAAACTTCTTTAATTATATTATGTTTATTGAATTATAAAATTTTGATAGATCATTATTTGTACATTTATGGAAGTTTGATTCTTGTTTAATACTTTCACGTTATAACTGGTAAATACATGTAAATAATTGTGGGGAGTAAAAAATAAGTAAGCTTATTAAAAATAAGTTTAATTAAAAAGTATAAACTAGTGTTAAGAAAGTTAAAATCACAGTATAAGATATTAAATTATGGGCGGTAGCCTGATTTGGTAGTTATAAGAAGTCTGACTAAGTTTTGTGCCAGCAGTCGCGGTTACACTTTAAGATTAAGTAAAAGTAATTTAGTTAGCAGTTAATTAATAATTTATAAGTTAGTTTAGTTTGTTTTAATAAAAGGTAAAATTCGATTGTTAATTAGTAAATTAAATTAGTATATAACAAAGATGAAACTGTAGACGCCGGGGTATGAACTAGGATTAGATACCCTATTACATCTGGGAGTAAAATTTAAATGCTTGAATATTAATATTTATCTTCTTTAAAATCAAAGAATTTGGCGGTATTTTAGTCTTGTTAGAGGAACTTGTTCTATAAACGATAAAACACGCAGAATCTTACTTATCTTGGTAAATTTCACAGTTTATTATTGGGATTAAAAAAATAAATATATTAGATCAAGGTGCAGCTGATAGATAAGTAGAAATGAGTTACAATAATATTTATTTATAACGGATTGTAGATATAATTATTTGCAAAGAAGGTGGATGTAATTGTAAAAAGAGTTTAATAAGCTTTTTTGAAAAAGGCTCTGAATTATGTACATATCGCCCGTCACTTTCATTTAAAATGAAATAAGTCGTAACATAATAGGTGTACTGGAAAGTGTCCCTAGAAATAATCAAAATAAAGCTTTATAGTTTAGCATCTCACTTACGTTGAGAAGGTTTATCGTGCAAATCGATTATATTTTGAGTATTATAGATCTTTGCTATTGTTGTTCAGAATATAAATGAGAAAAATATTTTTATATAAAAGAAGTAAGTAGAAATTTAAATTTTGAATCGAAAACTGAGATAAAGGCTAAAGTTAAAAGTATTTTAAAAGAATAGTGAAATAAATGAAAATTTAGTAATATGTAAGCAAAAGTAAATTTTTGTACCTTGTGTATCAGGGAAAATTTAAATTTTAAAAGTAGTTTTTTGATCCCGAAAAAGGAAGAGCTAAACTAATAAAAAGGTTATTGTGGCATAAATATCTTTAATATTAATTTAGTGGTGAAATTTTAAACGATTCCTTTGATATCTGGTTTTTAGAGAAATGAATTTAATTCACTTTTAGCATTTAAAGAAAGTTAAATGTAAGAATAGGAGGGTTGAGCTTCTTATTCAAAATATAAAATGGTATGGAAGAAACTTATTTAATAGTTGAATTAGGCTTAGAAGTAGCCATATGAATAAAGTGTTTTAACTAATTTTTAAATTAAAGTTATTTATATTCTTCTTGTAGTTGTATCTAAAAATATTAATAATATTTGTATTTATAGATAAAATGATTATATTAGTAGAAAATTTTGTAAATAATAAAATATTAAAAAATCAATAAATTTTAAATATTGACTGATGTGGGTTAAGGAACTCGGCAAATAAAGCTTCTGCCTGTTTATCAAAAACATGTCTATATGATGGTTTATAAAGTCTAACCTGCCCACTGGGATCAAACTAAAGGGCCGCGGTATTTTAACCGTGCGAAGGTAGCATAGTCATTAATCTCTTAATTGGAGGCTTGTATGAATGGTTGGACAAGAAGCGAACTGTCTCAAACACAAAAATTGAATTTGACTTTTAAGTGAAAAGGCTTAAATATTTTAAAGGGACGATAAGACCCTATAAAGCTTAATAATTTAATATATAATCAGATGAGTTGAAAGTTTAATAATTTTTATATATTAAATTATTTCGTTGGGGCGACGATGATATAATTGTAACTGTTTAAATTTAAAATACAGAGATATTTGAGTGTAATGATCCTTGTTGTTGATCAAAAATTTAAGTTACTTTAGGGATAACAGCGTTATTTATTTTGAGAGTTCATATCGACAAAAAAGCTTGAATTTATGGTCTATATATAAGTGAAGCTACATGTGATACATGTGGTAGATATAAGTATGCTGAATTGGTATCCGTTTGCTGCTAGTTTCTGTCTCTAAGGAGAAAAGATTATATGCTAAAACCATTTCATTTCCAAATGGCTCCTTGGAGAGGAGAGAGCTGAAGCTGAATTGAAATAGAAAATGCCTTATTCCCGTGGTTAATTAAAATTAATTACGTAACTTAGTAGATTCCTATATAAATATATGCTTTCTATTCAACAAAACCTCTGGCTAAAACATTACTCAAATGATGTTTCTAGAATCAATCAGCTGACTAAACAAACTTTTGCCAACAGCCATATGCATCTTTTGCTTTTTATTTGCATACAAGTATTTAGTAAAAGATAAGCAGAACTTTGTATTGTGGTGTGCTTCTATTATCTTTTGTCTTTAATTTATTTTGGTAGATTTTTATGAAATTTTAGAAATAATAAGGCAATATTCTGGTAAAAAAAAAGAGTGATACCAACGTCTGTTGGCAAAAGCAAACTTGGAGAAGCATAAAGGACAAAAGTCTGGACAAAGAATTTATAAAATCCCCCAAAAGGCCAGTAAAGGTTGGTATATCATCCATACAGTAATACTGGCAGTGTTGGTAAGAATGTGTTCATAACACTGTTCAGTTACAGTGTTACAACCCCAGGTTCCTTTAACTGCTCTCCATAGATAGCATCATAATTTTCACTTTGCTCATAGTTCGCATTCTACTTTTCTCGTCAAGCCACAATTAGGATGTTGAGAACGGCAATAATAAGGTTATGTTTCTCGGGAGATGGCCAGGAGGACTGTGGCCCAAGCGTTTATACAGTAAATGTGTCCAGTAAAAGTTTGCTTTTTCTCGTAGTCATTGGTTTCACATATTTTTCTAGATGGTACTCCATTATTTCTCTCACCTAAAAAAAAAAAAAGTTGTGTTACTTGAAAATGAAGAAAAATTGACAAAAAGCTAGTCCAAAACACTGAATGACATGAAGTTATTCCAAAGAATAAATGGCGATATAGATTACAATGAAATTACTGTTTTTACGACCCTTGGGCCTCTTAAGGGTGTAACAATATCACAAATTCCACTTTGTACTATAGGTCCAGGAATAGATCCCACCAAATTATCACCTTATTACTATGGGGTATATTGAAATACATACAGTAGTTTTAATAACAGAATATATTAACAAATAAACAATGAAATAAATATATCAGTATGTACAAAAATAAACAAATACAAGTTAAATCTGATCAAATAAATGTCTCAACCGAGTGACAAAATAATGAACACAAAAGTAAAGACTTATTTAGTATAAAAACTACGATGAACAACGTGGTCTATCCATCCCACGAAACCTCTTAAATAAGTAAGTTATTTTCCGTGGAACTCCAAAATATGATTAACAATAATCTTTCACAAATAATACTTTACTTGGTGTTATAAAACTCGAGCAAGGTTTACACGTTATACCACTAGAAACATACTGTACAATAAGAAAGGAGATACTCTGTACTTAACTTAACACTGCCGGGCCCATACTAAAGTAAACAAAGCGAGCAGAAGCGGCAGAAATGACGTCACAAACAAAAGACGTTCACGTTACGGATCCACAATCAACGATGGAACGCTCACTCGTAACATCTCCCCCTTAATTTAAAAGTTTAAGAAGCTCTGAATAAACTTTTACTCAACACGAAATAGAGTGTCGGCAATAATATTATCATAGCCCTTTATGTGTCTGATTTCTATATTATAGGGTTGAAGAGCTAATGACCACCGTAACAGTCTTTGATTCTTATTTCTCATATTATGAACAAACTTAAGTGGATTATGATCTGTATAAATTATCACTTGGTAAAGTGATCCACTTACATACACCTCAAACTTTTCCAGAGCTAACAAAAGGGCCAATGCTTCTTTTTCTATTGTGGCATATCCATGTTGATGCTTTTTCAGTTTGGCCGAGAAATAACAGTTCGGGTGCAATATTCCATCTTTTCCTTTTTGCATTAACACAGCCCCAACTCCTGTGTCACACGCATCCGATTGTATCACAAATTGCTTCTTAAAGTCTGGGAGTTGCAGTACAGGTGCCGTTGCCAACAACCCACGAACCTTTTCGAATGCTGTCTGGCATTCATCAGTCCACACAAACTTTCTTTTTGGACTGACCCAATCTGTCATGGGAGTGACTACCCTGGCAAAATTTTAACAAAACCTCCTGTAGAATCCAACCTTCCCGAGAAATCTTCTGAGCGCCTTTCGATTGTGAGGTGCGGGTAGACTGAGAATATCGACAACCTTGGCATCAATTGGAGCAATTTTCCCTTGTCCAATGACATGACCAAGGAAGATTAAGGTGACATGTCCGAATTCACTTTTGGGTAGGTTTACGGTGAAGTTGAACTCTGCTAGACGATTGAAGAGTTCACGGAGTCGGCCAATGTGTTGTACCCATGTGTCACCGATGACGACCAGATCATCTAGATAGGCGTACACCCCAGGCAGGCCTGACGTCACTATATGCATCGCTTGCTGAAATGTTGCTGGTGTTCCTTTGAGGCCGAAGGGCATAACTTTGTATTGCCACAGCCCCTCCGCAGTGACAAAAGCTGAAATCTGCTTTGCTTCTTCCGAGAGTTTGATTTGGTAGTAGCCCTTGAGAAGATACAGCTTGGTGACAAATGTTGCTTGACCCACACTATCGATGATGTCACCGATGCGCGGCAATGGATATGCATCAGCACGTGTCACCAGGTTGACCTTCCTGTAGTCAGTTCACATGCGGACACTTCTGTCGGGTTTAGGCACCAGCACACAGGGTGACGCCCATGCACTACTGCTCCTCTCCATTAGGTCATGTTCCAGCCGATATTCCACCTCCTGCTTCAGCTTCTCCCGCTTATCAGGGCTCATTCGGTAGGGTGCTTGCTTGATGGGAGATGTGTCAGGCAGCAGTACCAGGTCGTGCTCCAGCAGAGAACACTGGCGTGGCACATCGGTGAAGAGTGGCTTGAACTCCTGCAGCAGTTGCACCACATCCTGAGATTGCTGTTGCGAAAGATGGGATACTTTAGAGGTAGGGTCACACAATATACTGGAATTACAGATTTTTATGGGGATATCCACTTGGAAATCAGTGTCTGGGACCAACTCCTCTCCTGTTACCGAACAAACCATTTCACTCCTACCAAAATACGGTTTCAACCTGTTGATATGAGTCAAACTCTCCAATTTTCTCTTATCTGGAGTCGCTATGACATAGTTGAGGTCATTTAATTTATTAACTATAGTGAATGGATCCTCATATTTAGCTTGAAGGGGATTTCTATACAGGGGTATAAGTGCTAAAACCCTTTCTCCAGGCTTAAATTCTCTAGCTTGACAATGCTCATCATATTGCTTTTTCATTTTCTCCTGTACTTCTGACAGATTTTCACGAGTAATCTCACCTTCTCTCTTCAGTTTCTCTTTAAACTTCTCTACATACACTGACAAAGGGACTTTTATTTGATTACTTATCCAACTTTCCTTCAACACAGTCATAGGACCTCTTACAGCATGACCAAAAATCATTTCAAAGGGACTGAATCCTAGGGAGTCTTGGGAACTCTCTCTTATGGCAAACAACATAAGTGGTACTCCTTCATCCCAATCCTTATCAGACTCCATACAGTATTTCATAAGCATTGATTTAAAAGTCTGGTGGAACCTCTCTAGGGCACCTTGGGTTTGAGGGTGGTACGCAGAAGCTTAGAATTGTTTAATACCCAATTCATTCATCACCTGCTGGAAAAGGAAAGAAGTGAAGTTAGTACCCTGATCCGACTGTACAATTTTAGGAATGCCATATTTAGTGAAGAAGTTAGTCAGAGCCTTTACCACACTCTTTGCTTTGATGTTTCGCAATGGTATAGCCTCTGGGTACCTGGTGGTAGTACACATTATTGTTAACAAATTTTGGTGGCCACATCAAGTTTTTGGGAGAGGACCTAAACAATCAATTATAACCCTGCTAAATGGCTCATATACCACAGGAATGGGTTTTAGGGGAGCAGGTTTTATGACCTGATTCGGTTTACCAGCCATCTGACATTCATGGCAAGTTCTACAGTATCTGGCAACATCACCTTTCATTCTAGGCCAGTAAAAATGCGACAAAATCTTTTTGTATGTTTTCCTCACTCCTAAATGTCCTCCCAAAAAGTCGTGTGCTAGTTTCAAGATTTCTCCCCTGTGACAACTGGGAATCACAACCTGATGCACAACATTCCACTCATCAGCAGGATCAGATACAGATCTGAACTTCCTCATAAGTAACCCTGAATCCATGTAGTAACAAACAGGCAAGCGAACAGCTTCTTCAATATCCACAGCCTTCCTACATAGTTCAGCTAATTCAGAGTCACTCTGCTGATCATCTATCAGTTTTTCCCTAGTGACAGGTACTTTCTGAATGGTAATGTTGTCACCAGAAGAGAGATCAGCTTCAGATTTTGGGGAATGAATGTTAACTGAATCTTTAGCTTCATTCTCATCTCTCCCACCAATGTCACTATCAAATAAATCATCCTGACTGTCAAACAGATTCTTAATACCTAAATCATTTTCATCATTGCCAGGTGCACTACTATCAGCAATACAGAGCTCAGGGTCAACTGAAGGAACGGTCTGTACCTTATTCCGAAGAGTCTGGCTCCTTGTAACTGCACATAAAGGAAATAAATCAGGGTATTCTTCTTCAATTAAACCAGTATTATTCTCCTCCGTAGGAGTCGAAGATACTACAGGATGTGGCACCTCTCTGGATCCTGCAATATCATTACCCAGCAAAAAAGTAACCCCTGGCACAGGAAGAGAATCTTGAACACCAATAGTCACCCAACCAGTCACAAGTGGAGTTCTTAAAAACACCCTACACAAAGGAACAGTGATCACTCCACCGACACCCTTAAGCACCAAATGCTCTCCAGTATAGGAATCTTCCACGCAGGGAACAGATCCTTTCAACAGAATACTGTGAGAAGCACCAGTATCACGCAAAATCTTCGCAGGGTACTGATCACCTGATTCCTCAACTACAACTGAACCATCAAGCATGAAAGGTTCAAAAGAATCCTCCTTTGGGCGATTTCTCACTAAAGTTTTGTCAAACTTCTCCAGAGGTTCGAATGAGAGCACTGGCTCTTCCTTCTTTGCTTCCAATTTAGGGCAATTCGCAATCACATGACCTGGTTTCTTACAATAAAAACAAACAAATGATTTAGTCTTGGCATAGGTCTTGGAAAGCTCACCTGAGTTTCCACGAAAATTTACTTTACTAGAAGCAGTACTACTATCCTGCCTACCACCCTTTTCCTTAGTTACAAAACCCTTTCCACCTGAATGATTTTGAGATTTAACATGATGCATTTTGTGAGTAAGGGCATAGCTATCAGCTAATGCAGCAGCTTTTTGAACATTACTAATATCTCTCTCTCCCAAGTACAATTGTATATCTCTTGGAGTGGCTCTTTTGAACTGTTCTAAAATCATCAACTCAACAAGTTCCTCAAAAGCTTCTACCTTGCTAGACTTTATCCACCTTCGACACATTTTACTCAATGAATAAACAAATTCTATATAAGACTGTGCATCAGTCTTTCTCATAGACCTAAATTTCACTCTTTATGTTTCAGGAATGAGTTCATATGCCTTAAGAATTTCTTCTTTCACTAACTTATAACTACGACAAACTTCACTTGACAAAGACAGAAATGCTGAACGAGCTGATCCAGTGAACACACTTTGAATCATAGCAATCCACGACTCTTCAGGCCACTGAAAAGACTTTGCAATCTTCTCAAACTGCATGAAAAACTCTTCTGGATCCTCCTCATCAAAAGCAGGCATAAGTCTCAAATGTTTTGTCACATCAAACAATTTTGTCTCAGATTCTAAAGACAATGCCTGTAAATCTTGTCTTCTACTGCTAACCTGTGCTAACGCTAATTCATGCTGCCTTTCACGCTCTCTTTCCCTTTCTTCTCTTTCCTTCAAAGCCAACTCATGCAACTTATCCTTTTCTCGTTCTAACCTTCTATGCTCCAATTCTAGCTTTCTTATCTCTACAGCTTCTCTGGGGTCAAATGAACGCAAAGTCAGTGCCCCCTTCGGTAGCACCTCTTCATTTACAAGCTCAGTTAATACTGCACTTTTAATTTCAGACTTTCTTTGACTACGTCGATATTCAATTTCATATGTATCGGCAAGTTTCATCCAATCATCCTTTCTTAACACACTGTCTTTCAACATTTCTACGGATGGATTTTCAACAAACTCCTCCACATCAAACGTAGCCATGATTAAACAATAAAGATTCCCTATATTTAAATATTCCCAATAGATAATGAGTGAAAAGGGATCAATCCTGGCAGGGTCGCCAATTTTGTTACGACCCTTGGGCCTCTTAAGGGTGTAACAATATCACAAATTCACAAATTACACTTTGTACTATAGGTCCAGGAGTAGATCCCACCAAATTATCACCTCATTACTATGGGTTATATTGAAATACATACAGTAGTTTTAATAACAGAATATATTAACAAATAAACAATAAAATAAATATATCAGTATGTACAAAAATAAACAAATACAAGTTAAATCTGATCAAATAAATGACTCAACCGAGTGACAAAATAATGAACACAAAAGTAAAGACTTATTTAGTCTAGAAACTACGATGAACAACGTGGTCTATCCACCACACGAAACATCATATATAAGTAAGTTATTTTCCGTGGAACTCCAAAATATGATTAACAATAATCTTTCGCAAATAATACTTTACTTGGTGTTATAAAAGTCGAGCAAGGTTTACACGTTATACCACTAGAAACATATTGTACAATAAGAAAGGAGATACTCTGTACTTAACTTAACACTGCCGGGCCCATACTAAAGTAAACAAAGCAAGCGGACGCGGCAGAAATGACGTCACAAACAAAAGACGTTCACGTTGCGAATCCACAACCAACGATGGAACGCTCACTCGTAACACTGTCCTTATCCGACTCACCTCATTTGGATGTACAATTATTTTTAGTGTATAAATCTTTCTCAACAAACAATAACTGAAAACATACGAACTTGATAAAAACACACGTCTTTCTATCGATGAAATAAACCCCAAAAAATTTAATGAAGGTTTGTGACACTTATGAACAATTTATTGTCTCTAAGGAAGTCATAATAAACTGCCCTATCTCTCCGAACATTACGACAGAGACATAAAACAAAACAAGACAAGGTTAGTAGGAGGTGACTGTGGAGCTGTTGCAGTCATTTATTTCAGGTTAATGTTGAGTTAATACCTTTGTTTCTTTCTTTAAATAATATTCGGTGCTGTCCTTGGCTTTTACTGTTCTGGTAAGATAATTTTTAGTGGCAGGGATTATCTGTACAACTGGGTGTTTTCTTTTATTATACACACAGCATGGTACACTTACGTTACAGGAAAGACTTTGTATCGGGGGAGACTAGGGAGCCGTCCGATCAGACCTAAGAACAGGTGATGTGCCTTAGTCAAACTCTGTGGAGGCTCTGGGCTGGCCGTGTGAACAGAGACAGGTCAGCAATTTAGTGGTCAAGAACCTTATCTCTTTGGCCATGATTAGGTTAGGTTAGGTTAGGTTAAGTGAATGAGAGGTGTAAGATATACAGTAGTGGATATTATTATGTAATCATAAATGCTTATAAGTTGATATTATGGAGCAAATGGATGGTGAGTGACGGATGAGTGGTGAGTGACAGTAAGTGGTGTGTGATGGATGACTGAGGAGTGAGTGATGGGTGATTGGTGAGTGAGTGGTATGTGATGAATGATTGAGTGGTGAGTGATGGATGTGTCAGCGGTGAGCGATGAATGATGGATGAGTGAGGGGTGAGTGACGGATCCCTGATGGGTGAATTAAAGGTATGTGACGGATGAGTGAGTTGTGAGTGATGGATGGGTGGGTGGTAGGTGATGATTGAGTTATGGATGAGTGAGAGGTGAGTGATGGATGAGTGAGTGGTGAGTGATGGATGAGTGAGTGGTGAGTGATGGATGGGTGAGTGGTGAGTGATGGATGGGTGAGTGGTGAGTGATGAGCGAGTGCTGGATGAGTAAGAGATGGGTGACGGATGAGTGATGAATGATGGATGAGTGAGTGGTAAGTGATGGAGGAGTGATGGATGGGTGAGTGATAAGTGATGAATGAATGATGGCTGAGTGGGAGGTAAGTGACGGATGAGTGAGTGATGGATGGGTGAGAAGTAATAATAATAATAATAATAAATAATAATTAACGGTTTCTTGAAAGATCTTGGCAGCCAGAAGGCTGAAAATATACAGTTACATAATTGGGGAATGGGTTTCGAATTACAAATAATATACAAATAACATAAGTGATATAAATAAGATATATAATAACTAGATGGGGAAAAGCTCAAACTACAGGGCATTTCAACATAGTGACAGTGCAAGAAGTAGTATTTACTGGGAGTGAATACACTGGTTTATTACAAGTTATTGATAATTTTTACAATGGTTGGGACTGGGCTGTTCTTATAGCGATCAGTTCGTGCACGTATGGGCTGGATGCGGTTGTGGTGTCGAACAGCAATTCTCGGGCTAGGGATCTCAGGTGGTAGTAGGAGCCGGTGTCGAGGATGGTGCAGAAGCTTTATACCAAATTTGCAGATGAGGTCGTGGTGATGGTCAGTGAGAGTCGAAAGGGTCAGTGTGTTGAGCCCTTCTTGATATGTGGAGTAGGAAGGGGAGAGAATAATCTTGCATGCCCTCTTTTGCACTTTTTCTAGGTGTTTACGTTGTGTGGCATTTAGGGAGGAACACCAGGTAGGGGAGGCATAGGTGAGCTTGGGAAGTAAGAATATTGACTAAAAACTGAGGAGCTCGGGTGCAGGAACTCCGAGGGACTTGAGTCGGCGGAGGAGGTGGAGATGGAAACCGGAGGATTTGACAACTTCACTGACGTATGGTTTCCAATTTAGTTTGTTGTCTATGGTGACGCCGAGTAGCTTCGTGGAATCTACAACCTGGAGTGTGTTCGGATTTAAATTAATGGAAGGGGGTGGGACAATGTCGGAGGAGAGGTTGATGTGCATAACCATGGTCTTGGTATGGTTGATGGTGACGTGGTTGTTGGTGGCCTAGTTTTGGAGACTGTTCAATAAATCCTGAAGGGTGGTATAGTCGGGAGCAGAATTGTTGACGCTGATCCCAATGGTGGAGTCGTCGACATATTTCCAGCGAGCGGGGGTTTCTCTTAAGGCATCATTGATAAGCATAAGGAAGCAGAGTGGCCCCATCTTGGTGCCTTGGGGGACGCCACAGGTGAGTGACTGAAAGGTGGAGACAGCCCCTCGGAAGCGTACAGCTTGGCGTCGGTCACTGAGGAAGTCTGTAAGCCATGGTATAAGACTTCTCCGAAGCCCGAGGTCAATAGCTTTGTTGATGATTATATTGTGGTCGACTAGGTCGAATGCTTTAGTGAAATCAATGAAGGCGACAGCTACAGACGTTTTTCGTTTCTCGAGATGGCGGTATATGTAATCGAGAAAGCTGACAAGACAGTGAGTGGTGGAGGAAGTTTTCATATTGCCAAATTGCTGAGGGTCTACGACTCCTGCAGTATCAGCATAAGCCCAGTCGAACACAAAACTTTCACAGATTAGGCTGGGTATTGGGGTGATTGCAATAGGTCGTAGCTGATTTAAGGATTGTGGGCTGGTTGACTTGGGCACTGGAGATACATAAGAGGTCTTCCAGTCAGCTGGGCATCTGGCTTGACTGAGCGAAGCATTGATGATGGAGCAGAGGGGTTTAGCAAGCTCCGGGGAGAACTCCTTGAAGAGTTTCATTGGTAAATCAATGGGGGTGGTAGAGCGTTTTAATTTTAGTTTATCCAGACGTTTTGCTACTTCAAATTCTTCTACTAAGTCAGTGGGAAGGGGGGCTGGTAGGTAAGCAGGGAGAGTGGTTTTGTGATGGATGAGTGAGAGGTGAGTGATGGATGAGTGAGTAGTGAGTGATGATTTATTGATGGATGAGTGAGAGGTTAGTGACGAATGAGTGATGGGTGATTGAGAGGTAAGTGACGGTTGAGTGAGTGGTGAATGATGGATGAGTGAGAGTGGTAAGTGATGGATAGGTGATAGATGAGTGAGAGGTGAGTGACAGATGCATGATGAGTGAGTGAGAGGTAAGTGACGGATGAGTGAGTAGTGAGTGATGGATGAGTGAGAGGTGAGTGATGGATGAGTGAGTGGTGAGTGATGAATGACTGAGGGGTTATTGATGGATGAGTGTGTGATGAGTGACGGATGATTAATTGGTGAGTGATACATGAGATAGTGGTGAGGGATGGATGAGTAACGGATAAGTGATGGATGAGTGGTGAGTGATGAATGTACGAGGGGTGAGTGATGGGTGAATGGGTGGTGAGTGATCGATGAGTGAGTGGTGAGCGACGGATGCGTGATAGATGAGAGACGGGCGAGTGAGAAATGAGTGTTGGGTGAATGATGGATGAGTATGGGGAGAGTGATGAATGAAAATGTGGTAAGAGGTAAATGAGTGAGGGTTAAATGATGGATTTGTTGGAGGTGAGTGATGGATGAGTGATTGGTGAGTGATGAATGAGTGATCGATGAGAGACAGGTAAGTGACGAATGAGTGGGTGGTGAATGATGGTTGAGTGAATGGTGTGTGATGGATAAGTGAGTGATGAGCGACGGATGCGTGATAGATATGGGGCGGGTGAGTGACAGATGAGTGATGGGTGAGTGGCAGATGAGTGAGGAGTGAGTGATGGATGAAAACGTGGTAAGAGGTATTTGAGTGAGGGGTCAGTGATGGATGATTGAGTGGTGAGTGATGGATGAGTGAGAGGTGAGTGATGGATAAGTGGGTGGTGAGTGATGAATGATTGATGGATGAGTGGGAGGTGAGTGACGGATGAGTGTGTGATGAATGATGAATGAGTAAGTGGTGAGTGATGGATGAGTGAGTGGTAAGTGATGGATGAGTGAGTGGTAAGTGATGGATGAGTGAGAGGTAAGTGATGGATGAGTGAGATGTGAGTGAGTGGTGTGTGATGAATGATTAAGGGGTGATTGATGGATGAGTGAGTGGTGAGTGATGGATGAGTGAGCGGTGAGTGATGAATGATGGATGAGTGAGGGGTGAGTGACGGATGCGTGATGTGTAAATTAGAGGTAAGTGACGGATTAGTGAGAGGTGAGTGACTGGTGAGTGATGGTTGAGTGAGTGATGAGTGATCAATTAAAGATGGATGAGTGAGAGTTGAGTGACGGATGAGTGATCAATGATGGATGAGTGAGTGTACTGTAAGTGATGAATGAGTGAGTTATGAGTTATGGATGGGTGAATGGTGAGTGATGAATGAGTGATGGATGAGTTCGAGGTGATTGATGGATGAGTGAGTGGTGAGTGATGAATGAGTGAGTGTGAGTGACGGGTGAGCAATTGGTGAATTATCGATGAGATAGTGGTGAGAGATGGATGAGTAACGGGTGAGTGTTGGATGAATGAGAGGTGGGTGATGGATTAGTGAGTAGTGATTAACTGTTGAGTGAGTGGTGAGAAATGAATGAACGAAGGGTGAGTGATGGATGAATGAATGGTGAGTGATGAATAACGAGGGGTGAGTGATGGATGAATGAGAGGTGAGTGATGGATGAGTGAGTAGTAAGTGATGGATGAGAGAATGGTGAGTGATGTTTGAGTAATGGATAAGTGAGTGGTGGTCGACGGATGTATGATGGAGGAGAGGCGGGTGAGTGAGAGATGAATGATAGGTGAGTGAGGGATGAGTATGGGGAGAGTGACGAATAGATAATGGCTGATTGAACAGAAAGAGGCGGATGAGTAACGGGTGAGTGATGGTTGAGTAAAGGGTGAGTGGGGAGTGAGTGAGGGATGAAAATGTGTATGGGGTAAATGAGTGAGGGGTGAGTGGCACATGAGTGAGTGGTGAGTAATGGATGAAAACGTGGCAGGAGGTGGATGAGTGGGGGGTGAGTGATGGATGAAAACTAAGAGGTGGATGAGTGGGGGTGAGTGATGGATGAAACCGTGGTAAGAGGTGGATGGGTGACGGATGAGTGATGCATGAAAACGTGGTAAGAGGTGGATGAGTGGGGGTTAGTGATGGATGAAACCGTGGTAAGAGGTGGATGGGTACGGGATGAGTGATGTATGAAAACGTGGTAAGAGGTGGATGAGTGAGGGGTGAATGATGGATGAGTCAGTGGTGAGTGATGGATGAATGTGTAAGTGATGAGTAATAGATAGATGAATGAGGTGATTTAGTGAGTGGTGAGCGACGGATTAGTGACGGGTGAGTGATCGGTGAGGTGGTGAGTGACGGATGAGCGACGGGCGAGAGATGGATGAGAAATTGGTAAGTGGCTGATAAGTTAAGAGTGAGTGGTGAATGGGTGACGGGTGAGTGATGGATAAATGACGAGTGAGTGATGGATGAATAACGGGGGAGTAATGGGTGAGTGATGGGTGAATGTTGAATGAGTATGTAATAAGATGCGGATAAGTGACAGGTGAGTGATGGATTAGTGAGTGGTGAGTGACGGTTGAGTGATGGCAAGTTATGGATGAGTGAGTGGTGAGTGACGGTGAGCTATGGATGGATGAGTGGTGAGTGATGGACGATTGAGGGTGAGTGATGGAGGAATTACTGATGAATGACGGATGAGTGACGGATGAGTGAAGTGTGAACGATGGATGCATGAGGGGTGTGTGAGAATTGAGTGAGGGGGATGAGAATGGAGTTAGGAGCGACAGATGAATGAGGGGTAAGTAGTGGATGAGTGGATGGTGAGTGATGGATCAGCAAGTGATGAGTGAGGGTTGAGTGAGGGTTGAGTGAGGGGTGGCTGACGGTTGAGTGAAGGATGAGTGAGGGGTGAGTGAATGATGAGTGATGGATGAGCGAGGGGTGAGTGAGAGGTGGCTGATGGTTGAGTGAGGGATGAGTGAGTGGTGAGTGATGGATGAGTGAGGGGTGAGTGATGTGAGTGATGAATGAGTGAGTGGTGATTGATGGAAGAATAAGGGATCAGTGACAAGTTAGTGACGGGTGATTGACAGATGAGTGAGTGATCAGTGATGGATATGTGAGTGGTGAATTATGGATGAATGAGTGGGAGTGATAGATGAGTGAGGAGTGAGGCTTGAGTGATGTATGAGTGATGGGTGAGTGACGGACCAGTGATTGGTGAATGATGGAGGAGTGAGGGGTGAGTGACGGATGAGTGAGGGGTAAGTGACACGGATGAATGAAGGGGAAGTGATTGATGGATAAGGGGTGAGTGAAGGATGAGTGGGTTGTGAGTGATGGGTGAGTGATGGATGAGTGAGGAGTAACTGACATATGAGTGACGATTGAGTGATAGATTAGTGAGATGGGTGAGTGAGTGGTGAGTGATAGATAGGGGAGACGGAGAAGTGAGGAGTGAGTGACGGACTAGTAAGGGATGAGTTGACGGATGAGTGAGTG